GCAGTTGAAGAGGGGTCGGCGGGCATGGTGTCCATACAGCGGGGGGTGTCCTTAACTTTTGGGGCGCTCAAAAAGCGCGCGGGGGGTTGTAGCGCGCCAGCCCTCTTGTACCCCTGTCCGTTTCCAGCCCTCTGCAACACAGAAGAACTGGGTCGCGGTCGCTCTCTGTGTCTGTGTGACGCTGTCACTCTTTCGTCTCGGCCTGTCTGTTTTGGTACTAGTCGGTTCTCTGCAACTCAGTCCACCCGGTACAATGAGAGGGGGGCATGCCCCACACATACACACCGACGAACGAAATTCAACTGCATCTTCCCCCACGGCAACTTGTGGAGAGCTGGGGGTCTGCTCGTGCTGCACCATGCGAACGGCGGTATTGTGATACCGGGCGCCGTTGGCAACGATTGGACAGACGCTCCCTCATCACCCTAATTCTCACCGCACGCGGTGAAAGACTAGACTAACAAGCGCGTCCGCTCTCTCTTATCGCCCTGCCGTTTTCCACGCAAAGGACTACAACCGCGTCTGCTTTTTCTCACGACCCTCTGCCATTTTCCAGGCCTTGTCCCACCTATTCCGGTCTACACGACTTTCGGTGTATGTATCAAACGCATCAGCCGCCACGAGAACGCCACACAGGAACCTTTGCCGTTTTAGTGCCCCACCTCTCCCCCTGCGGTGCCTACCAGGCCCTGTGCCTTAAACAAAACAAAAAATCCAGCTGAAAAAATCCCCTCGGATTTGTGGTTTATGGAGTACCTCGAACGGGTTTTCTATTTTTATTGTTTGCATTTTTTTTTCTTTTCCCTTAAGTAGAAAAACTCACCCCGCGATAGAGGCGATGCTGCCCCCGCTCGCCATCAACTGATTCCTCACGGAGGGGCTCCATAGACCCATCTCCATCAGGTCGGTGAAGAGGTGCGGGTTGACCACGATAAACTCGCCGGCCTTCACCCGGCGCGCGTAGAGGTTGCTCGTGTACGGCTCGATGCACTCGTTGAACCTGCGCCGATATGCATAGGTGGGAGAGGCGAGGTCAGCAAGAGGGTAAGAGACGGGAGTAGCAAGAGAGCGGGAGACGGGACTAGCAAGGAAGGGGGCCGAGAAGAAGGTGGGAGACGGGTCTATCATAGCAAAAGACGGGGACGAGATCAGCAAAAGACGGGGACGAGAGGTAGGGTGAGCATCAAGAAAGAGGGAAGGAGACGAGACTCACAAAAGAGGGAGACGAGATCAACAGAAAGGAGACAACAAGCACAAAAGAAACGGATAGCTCGGGCTCACCCTAGGATCTGTGCCGTCGATGCCGTGGGCATCGGTGCGAGGAGCAGCGAATTCCTCACGCCGTGCTTAGCCACGCGTGTCCGCAAGCTAGCCCAGTCCCACCTGTCGGATGGGGTCTGTACGGATGTAAACCAAACCACCACCACCACCACCAACAACACCACCGCGAATAGCAAAAGCAGCGACCGCAAAAACGAAAAGAACAAGGAGCAGAAGAGAAAGGGCCGTGAAAATAAAACAAAAAAACGAACGGGTCGGATGTGAACATGTCGCCGTTGTTGTTGTTATTGTTCCTGTCGCTTTCTCGCGTTGAACACCGTTCTGGCCTCTTATCCAGAATCCCAATGTTCCACACCGCTCTTAAACGCGCAAGACACGGACTGGCCACGAGCTATCTGGATACTCCAAACAAGATTCACGGTGTATGCTCAGGCAATTGCAAGTGAGTAGCGTGGAACAGCAGTAACGGAGAAAGAGTTGGAAGAAAAAATAAGGTCGCCCGATTCCATCCGTCCGACAGAGTCTGCATACGACGACCGCAACCATGACCAGGGTAGACGATAGCGGTACTGTACGTCTTAAGGTCCCCACCGCCAGAAAACTGGCGCAAGACACAAGAGGCGTACAGGCGAAGTTCGTTTTTCGATGGTGTATATATGTGCGCGCTGATTTGAAGCCAAGACAACAACAAACAAAAAAAAAGTGGGGTGTCGCTTTCGTCATGGGGACCTCGACCATGAAACGCATAATGTTTGTTGCGGCGCCTGTTGGTGCTGGTTACACACTACACACATGCGCCCATACCTCCGGGCAGAACAAGGACGCGCCATTGACATTGACAAAAAAAAGGACGAAGACGACGACTGTAAGCCCACTGCACCGGCAGCAGCTGAGGAGCCATCGCCACCTCCCCCCGCATCGACAAAAAACAACATCAACACCGGCAGCAGCAGCAGCAGCAGCTCAAGAACCCCCCTCCATCGACAACAACAACAAGAGCACCGGCAGCGGCACCATTACCCCCGACACACACACATCGACAACAACCTACCTCTCCCCACATGTCGAACTGGAAAATTCCCTTGGAGACCGGGCTGCCCTCGAACGTTTCGTACGGCCCTTCCTTCTCTGCAAGCTCGCACGACGCCGTCATAGCGGCGAAATACATCGTCTCGAAGATGTCGCGGTTTAGGGCCCTCGCTCCCTCGCTCTCAAACGGCATACGCATCTACAGAAAAAAAGGGAAAGGGGGGAGAGCCGGTATAGCCTTTGTTGTTAGACCATTGACCACGCGTCCTCTAGAGGCCCTCGCTCTCGAACGGCATATCATACGCACGTACATAAAGATAAAGGGATTGGGGGGGGGGGGGGGGGGGGGGGGGGGCCCCCCCTTTTTTGGTTCCCCCTTTACCCCCGGGCCCGGGAAAGGAGGGGAATTTTTTCCCCCAGGGGGGAACCCCAAGCCCTTCTTATTGGGCCAAGGGGGACCCAAAAAGTTTTTTTTTTCCCTTTCTTTCGGGGGGGGGGGGGGAA